TTTTTCCTTCTTCCCCAATCTTCTTCGAGTCTTTCTTGTTTTTTCCATGGCTAGAGGGAGTGGTGCTGGTTCCTCCGCGCCTGCCAAGGGTAAAGGCAAGGCGCGGGGCAAGGCGACGGCTACTGGAACGGCCACCGCCGGGAAAAAGAAGGAGGGGGAGCCGCCAAAGGATTCAGCTATATTTGCCTCAAAACCATATGAGGTAAGAACTTGATGGAACTTGTGATACCATTGACAGGAAGCTTGTTTGAGACCATAGATGAATTTCTTTAGTTTGCATACCATGGACTTTGAGTCACCAGAAATAAAATTTTCTGGTTGCATCATATAAATCGTTTCTTCAATGTCACCATTTAGAAACGCAGTTTTAACATCCATCTGATGGAACTCTAAGTCATAATGAGCTACGAGTGCCATTATTATTCTAAAAGAATCCTTTGAAGAAACCGGAGAAAAGGTTTCTTTGTAATCAATGCCTTCCTTTTGAGTGAAACCTTTAGCAACTAAACGAGCCTTATATCTCTCGATATTACCTTTTGAATCCCTCTTGGTTTTAAATATCCATTTACAACCAATAGGTTTCACACCTTCAAGTAATTCAACGAGATCCCAAACATCGTTGTCTTGCATAGATTTCATCTCATCCTTCATGGCATCAATCCACTTTTGAGAGCTAGAACTTTGCATAGCTTGACAGAAGTTGATTGGATCATCCTCTGTTAAACCAATGCCATCCTCATGTTCTTGAAGAAACACAATGTAATCATCTGGAATTGCATTTTTCCTTTCTCTAGTGAATCTCCTTAATGACACTTTTTGAGATTGTTGAGCTTGCTTTATAGGTATTTGAGGGAGAACCTCAATATTGTCTTGTGTAGGGACAATGTCAGGAATAACTCCATGATTGTCACCTATTACTAGGGTAGGTACTGGAATAGTAATAGGCACGAGGACTTGATCACTGTCAATGACAGGTTTTTCCTCAAAGACAACATTTCTTATGTTCTTTTCCTTCCCAAACTCAACATCCTCAAGGAATCTCGCATTCCCGTCTCAAAGAATGATCTAGTAGTGGGATTGTAAAATTTATAGCCCCGAGAGCGTTTAGGATAACCAACAAAATAACAGCTAACAGTCCTTGACTCCAGCTTGCTTTCATGCGACCTATAAGGACGCGCTTCAGCCGGACAACCCCAAATGTGTAAATGTTTTAGACTTGGCCTTTTACCCGTCCATAGTTCATAAGGAGTTTTGTTAATTACTTTACTTGGTACCCTATTTAGGATGTAGACTGCAGTCTTAAGCGCTTCTCCCCACAATGACTCTGGTAAGGAAGAATGACTAATCATATTAGGGTTCCCATTAAGCCCTAACGGGCCAAATCTAGTTTTCACTTATATGGGCCCATATTAGTTTTTCCTGTTGGCAGTCTAAAGGCTCACTGAAATTAGATCACTTTTATTGAGCTCAACTAAATATAAATAATTAATAT